GTCATTTTTTTCACCAGTTAATATTAGTTCTGTAACTTTTCCATTCAATGTTGACTTACCATTTTACACATTAAAAGTATTCTAACTTTTCTGTTATTGATAGGCTTTTAATTTGAAGAATCTACAGAAATTGTTGAGTTTCATTGAGGTAGGTTAAAATTGATTGGGTAAAAACTGTAATCAACAGGTGGATAAAAGGTATTTTTGCTATAAATAGAGCAGCACAGTGGTGAACTGGACTACTGTTGTATTGATGGATGTACTTCTGTGGAAAATCACATTACGCATCATTTTCCATGTGAGTCATTACTTTAAATCGCTTCACCTCTTTTTTACCCAGTCTTAATGTGTTCATACTGGCCACACCCCCTGCTATTATTTTACTCTCTTATTATTATTATTATTATTATTATTATTATCATCATATGAGAATTTACAGCAGTTTGAATCAAATGATGGAGAGAGTTTCAGCATTTTTCTCCTGAATATTCAATATTAGTCACATTTCTCTTTAGGAACGCTGTATACATTTATCTTTTTCACTGTAATGTATTTGAATCTTACTTTCTGATTCAATCCCAGACATTTGTTTGGATCAATAACCCAAATTCAACCCCTGCACATACACACAGTGTACTACAGATAATTTATTCTACCGGGTAATAAAAACCTCAATTATTGCATCTTTAAGTTCTCTAAAAAACCTGCTTGGGAATTTATCACCACTCCGTGATGTTTTTCGTCTAGTTTCCCTTCACTAATGTAAACTCGCCCACTGAGGATATAAAAAGTTTACAAGTGACTTTGTGAAATGGTCCACGTCCCCGATACTGACTGGACGCACACTGTCAGCTCCTCCATTAAAAGTGATGTAAAGTCTCACTCTGCCTCGGTCCCACTTCGGCCTCAAAGAGCCAGACTCCCGCAGTCGCTGGCCCACGAGTCTTAACTCACGCTAACAGCACACATCAGTCTTTATCATGCAGCGGGGACACGCATACGTGATGAGATGTTTATGGATATTGAGGGTTAAAGGTCAAATAAAAGCTTCACAGAGATTTGTATTTGGTTATCGCACAAGTGCAGTTGCAAATTAGAAAGCCTGCGGGAGCCAATCAGAGCACACATACAGACAGACACTGAAATTGATTGGTGGATTGATCATTAGAGCTGAAACAATTAGTTGATCAATCAATTAGTCAATTGTCAGAAAAATAATTGAATTATGAATCGTTTCAGTCATTTTTAAGGCAAAAATTTGAGGATTCACTGCTGTTCTTTGTCAAATACAAACAATAAACTGAATATTTTTAAGAAAATGTTTCATTAACAAAACAATTAATTGAGAAAATAATCAACAGATGAAAATAATGTTGTGTTGG